ACCAAATTTGTCAATCATGTGCTAATAAACCTTATTAGTGTTAGTCTTTTAGGTGCAAGAATTTAGCTTAAGATTTTAAATTAAGTTGGACTGTAGTTCAAAACTATCCTCATCTTTGTAAGCTTTATTGTTAATTCTCAGCCTCTGACCAGAAAAGGCACCCAGAACTGTTACAAATGCATTAAACCGACTAATTTTCTTTAGAATGCAACAATTCTGGGAATATTAGGTCGAATTATGGTAAAGGCTGAAATAACAATATAAAAATATATATACACATGCACATTTCGCATAGGGAACAAATAAGTATATACATCTTATTCAGGTCTGTATACAATTTAAAAATTCCAATATTTCATTTTATTGTCATGACCCTCAACTTATAAAACCCTGGAGCCAATCAAAAAACTACATTATAACTACACAAGTTGAATAAAACTCAAATGTAGAAGTTCTGCTTAAACTATAAAAGCAAAATCAGCTTAATTCACCTGTGAAATATTTGAGAACTATAAAATTGAATCCTGCAGGCACTATGTAGCATTCTAACATGTATTCTTTTTTACTTGACAACACTAGTCCTGCTTGTGCAGAGATAGTAAGTGATAACTGACGAAAATGGAATTTGTTGAGACACATTTTATTAAGAAGATACACATTAGTTCTCTTTGTCCTGGACGGTCTTTGTTCCACGCAGTCTGCCAGTACGACGGGCAGCGATGAGACCGACCTTGCGTCCAGCGGGCGCATCCCTCCTGATTGTTGAGGGCTTGCCAATATGCTGATGGTTACCACCACCGAAGGGATGCTCAACAGGCTGGAAAAAGAAACAGCATACATCAGATTTAAAACCACCAAAGAGGGAACAAATCAGACTGAAATCATATAAATCACAATTTTTTTTTTTTAATAAGGTAAATTTGCTTACGTTCATAGCCACACCACGGACACGAGGCCAGCAGTTCCTCTTGGCCTTGTACTTGTGGTATGCACGTCCTGCCTTCAGGATGGGTTTGTCAATACGACCACCGCCAGCAACAACACCTTTAACATATGACATTAAATATTGTCATATTGAATTCAGTTCACATTTAATTCAGTCTCAAAGTCTATAAAGCCAAAATGAATACACAAATACCCCTTACACGTTTGCTATATCAGTCATTTACAAGCATTTTTTTCAGTGCTGTAAAGTACCCCTGAGGTTTAAAGTTAATTTCTCAATATAATAAATCACAGTTCTCTGATGTTGGTTGAAGGTCACATAACATTGTTTATCTGAATGTCAGTTTTATTTTAATTCTTTTTTAAATATTTGCATTTACATTTTTGTCATTTTAAGTTTTAGTTCAACTCTCGAACCCCCTGCAGTTCCCTCACAAACCCCAGGTTGGGAAACCCTGTGCTATAGAATATAATATGCTCTTAAATTATATATCCCTGCAGTCACAAAACATTTCACTGGTTTGTACATTTGGTTTAGTTTATACATTTTGCAGACGCTTTTATCTTTTATAAAAGAATAAAAAGAAAAAACACAAGCCTACGGATTTTTAGAAAAAGATCAACAATCAGAGATCTAAATTAAAACCATTCAAAGCAAGGAAAACAATACTACTCCAAAATATAATCATATCAACCAAAACTTTATATATATATAATTTCTGAAACCATAACATTTGCTTACCAACAACAGCTCTGTTTGCAGAAGAGATGGCCTTTTTGGATCCAGATGGAAGCTTGACTCTGGATTTCTTGGTCTCGGGATTGTGGGAGATGACTGTGGCGTAGTTTCCGGATGCGCGAGCAAGCTTGCCCCGGTCTCCAGGCTTCTCTTCCAGACAGCAGACAATGGTACCCTCAGGCATGGTGCCAACGGGCAGCACATTGCCAATGTTCAGCTGGGCTATAACAGTTCAAGCACAGAGACTTTGATCAACAGGTGCACATAAGACTGGATGTTTGCTTGCCTTAATCTCAGTTTAAAAGTTCATTACCTTTCTTGCCACAGTAGATGAACTGCCCAGTGTGGATGCCTTCAGCTGCAATGAACAGTTCGGTCCTCTTCTTGAAGCGGTATGGGTCACGGAAAACCACCTTAGCCAGGGGAGCTCCACGGCCGGGGTCGTGAATAATGTCCTAGAGGAGAAAGCAGTTTTGTTTTTTTGCCATTTCCCCTCTTGGCATGAGTGACCTTTTCACAATTTCAACATTTAATCCACAATTTTACCTTCACAATCCCCTTGATGTAGCCATGGCGTTCAGCAAAGTCAATATGACGGAGTTTAGCAGCACCTTTTCTGTGCTTGACATGGGCTTTGAAGACGGAGCCCGCACCTTTTCTCTGTCCCCTGATCACACGTCCCATTGCGGCCTGTATAAACAAGCAATTACACATTTAATATGACATTTCAATGCACTATTTACATTGAGCGTGTCATTCTGCATAACATTTGATTGTGTCACCATTCACATTTATTATACAGAGAAAGCTGCAATGAAAGTGATGCAATGAGACAGATTGGGAATAACATGAGTAAAAGTAAATCAAATTTTACCCATAAAAGGATTTATATATTCTGCAATTATGCATTGGACAAAATGGCTAAAATGTTTATTTTTTGTGCGGTTATATTTTTTTCATTAAACGTCTTTAATTTAAAGAAGCCTCTCACATTCTCAGTGTACTTAATTCGTCCATAACAATCTCCATGTCTATTCTATCCCTCTACAGTGACAGCCAGCCGCTATGATGAACTCATGTGACTTGCGAGGAGTTAACATTGAAACGTATCCCACACTAACGACACGTACGGTTAAAACAATACTTAATACCTCGTTTAATAAATATATTAGGATCGTATAACAGGCAAAAACTCCTCCGAATCGTTTCAGAATTGCCGGTACTCTAGGCTAGGCCACAACATGACCAGAGACATCAATTCAACGATAAATAACACATTACATTTCAACATTCTGAGACACAAAAGTGTAAAGATATGTCCTTAACTAATATGTTGACAATATACAGCTTATTGTATACGTGGATGGTGAACTTTAAACGGTGATTACAATCAGATTGAGCAGAGAGACAGAATATTATTTCTCATACCTAAACTCCGTTGACGGAAAGAGGAAGCAAAAGGGAGTGATGGGGGTTTTCTTCCGGTGAAATGGGGCGAGCGGGAGGGGTCAAGTACCCGGATGTGTGTTCAGTACCAGTACGCGGTCTGCCCTCCAGAGGCTGAACATGGAAGGGAAGAAAGAAAGAAATCAGAATGAAAACAGTGAGTGGTTCTCAATAGACAGTAAAAAAAGTTCTCAACCCTCAACTTGTTGATTTGACCATGGAACCCACATTTTCCCATGGTCATTAATTGGCCGCGACCTGTTTTTTTAATTTTATTTTTTCAGACATATATATATATACACACACACACATTTGCTTTTAAAAATCAAGCAAATGTATAAAATGGTTGACACATACAAGCACCGTCCCACTTTATGCACATAAATTGTAAGAAAATTACCAATACTGATAAATAAACAGTATGGTAGCAGTCCCAAACTAGCTTTTAATACTATAAAGTTAGAAGGCCTACGAGCCACCAACTATTTAAAATTACACAAAATAGCACAAAGTGAAAATTAAGTGGTAATTTGTTACCATGGTAAATACACAATACTATATGAACTTGCAAATACTTCCAAGCTAACATATGAAGTACAAATTACGTAATTTATTGGCATTTTGTGTTAATTTCATGACTTACTAATTGTCAACGTAACTACGCCATTTGCATGCTCATAATTTATTTTTAATGTATAATTTTGATCTTTATAGTGAAGTGATACAGATCGTGCCTGTGCATTAGTGCGTACTATGAGGTGAGCACAGACAGGACTGGACTTTTTATTTTGTAACAATTTACGAAAATAACGTTTGAATAATGACACTGACATTATAGCCTGACAACATAAGTAGATACTGAATCAGGACAACGGGGTTTTGCGTCTGACAGAAGAGTCAACAGCTTCACTCATGTCTTTTAAAATAAAAGTCCCAACATTATTGTTGTTTCTTTGACTGCACACTCCATGGCCCACTCAAAACGGTCTTGCGACCCACTTTTGATTTGAGAAACACTTACAGTATCTTACACTGGGAAAACAGCGATGCAGTTGCCTCTAAAATGTTGCGCTTTAGTTTTTATACCATAAAAGGAGGCAGCATCGGGCCAATCACCTGGCCTATGCTGTTGAATATTTTGTCTTTCATTAATTATGTAGTCTTTTATCTACACAGAATTTAATAGATAGCATTTGTATGTATCACAGAAGTGGCAGAAGTTGAAGAAATAAGCATAAAAGGATTGATATATTCTGTATATGCATTGGGAAAAATGGCTAGAATGGTTGTCTATTGTTTAAAACTATGCTATTGTATATTTAGTTAAATCTTGTTTCATTAAACACAGACTCAATTAACTTAATAATGTAAAATATAGCATTTTATGTATCCTAAATACACATAAATAATGTTCCTCACATTTTACATAATTTGAAAAAAAATTCTTGATTGAAAATAACCTGTTCAGTTGATATATTTAGCGTGATCTATATATAGAATGCATTTGAAAAGTAGCAGAAATTAATAATAAATGCATGATGATGAAAAAGTTAATAAAAACTGGGATATAAAAGTGTCAGCCAGAAGTAGTAGAAAAGCCCATAAAGGATTTATATATTCTGTATGAATGAGAATATGAATTATTCATGTACATTTTTATACAGAAGTAAAAAGTGAAATATTGTCAAAGCTCGAGCATTAATCAATAATAATACGTTTTTTTCCCCAACACGGCGTGCCAAGAGACGTCTAACATCTCGCGATATTTCGGCCGCAGTGACGTCTTTCCTGCATTCGCTGATCCAATGGCATTTAGCCTAAAGCCAACAGCCACAGCACACACACTGGGCTGCCATCAGCACAGCAGAGACATCCTGAACGAAACTTCAAATTTCGGTGTTTTTTTTCCCCAATACAAGGCCTTAGGGAGGATAACGTACACTTAAACATTTCCTTCTTTTTTTCCCCACGGCGGTCTTGGCACAAAAAGCCCTTGGAGAAGGACAGGACTACAAAAGAACAAGTGACGTCGTTATAAAAGGAGACTTGGCTGAAATCCTTTAGACAACAAAGAAACGGCTTCTCAGAAATAAAGGAGGAATCCTCAATTATTCTCTTTAGTTATGAGTCATGTGGTCGTCGACGGTTCACACGGTCTAGATCAGCAGGTAGGCTATGAATATGTGTTTAAATATGTGTGAGCTTCGTAATCGGTTTGATCGGTTGGCTTTGACAAGCAGGCTATGTCTCAAAACCTAGTGAGCTGCCTTCCTAGACAGCACTCCTAGCTTTGCGTTGCCTCAGAAATGCTGCCAAAGAAGGCACCTCAGTAGATGTTGAGACAGTCGCAGATCCTCGTGTTATAATCTTGTCTTTAATTAAAGATATACAATTTAAGATCTGTTTAGACTGAGTGTCCACATTCATGTCCACATTTAGAGTTTAAAGTGTTTAATTCACAGCCGACGCCTTTTCCTGTTGATCTGTTTAGTTTAGGTTTCGGCAGCCGGCATACTAGAATCAACATCAGTATTAAACTTTTTCCGTCATCGTTACAGTTTATATCAGATTATGTAAAAGCGTTAAAGTAGTTATTCTACTTACAAGTAACGTTAACTGAGTTATTGTTAAACTCGTGGCGAGGAAATCTATCGGAAATTTCAGTCTGCGGCCTGTTGTACCATGCTACCTTTAAATTTGATACGATCGAATCATTTTTACATGGAACAGGCTGATGATGGATTATGCATGTTTTATCTATTTATCAATTTCTATATCCACTATGACCAATTCGAAGAGTCTCATTCCTGGTATAATGATTATAGGCTTTAGGCTTGACTAGGGCCGTGACGGCTTGCCAAACATTTGTGGCAGGCGCTTTTGAAATTTGATTAACCAATCTAATTTCAGCGGGTACGTTTGTGGTAGAAAAATAGTTTAAAGTGTCTAAAAGAGGTTTTTTTTTTTTTGGTTTTCTCTTATGTCATACAGTGGACAACTATAAATTACCGCGCAGACTGTTTTGATTTCATGTGACATTTTTACATGGTTGATGTAAACAGTCACGTGACCAGAGCCGTTTAAATACGCTTTACCCCTCTGAAAGATGATGTTTGTCAAATCTCTTAAAGGTATAGTTCACCCAAAAAAGAAAATTCTGTCATTTATTCACTCATGTTGTCCCAAACCTGTATGAGTTTCTATCTTCTGTTGAACACAAAATAAGAGTTTGAAGGATGTTGGCAACCAGACAGGTGATTGAGATAGTATTTTTTTCTCCTATGGAAGTCAATGGGGTCCATCAACTGTATGTTTACCAACATTCTTCATAATATCATCTTTTTGTGTTCATCAGAAGAAACTCACACAGGTTTGGGACAACATAAGGGTGAGAAAATTATGACAGAATTTTCATTTTTGGGTGAACTATCCCTTTAAAAGCAATCATGTAAAACTTGTATAATAGACAAAAAGAATTTGGTACATATACTTTTTGTTGTTGTTAAGATTGCTCAGTCTCAATTCATGCACAGTTGCAAGGCATGTCAGTGGTCACAACTGTCATCATTTACTCTACCCAGATGTTGTTATACACTTATTTGACTTTCTTGTGGACACAAAAGGAGATGCTAAGTGGATGTTGTTTTACTTTCATTGCATGGAAAAAAGATGCACTGAAAGTGAAAGGTGATTGAGGCCTAACATGTCCTTTTGTGTTCCATGGAGGGAAAAAGTCATACAGGTCGTCAACCTAGTAGACAATTCCACGTTCTCTCATTTTAATTAAATAAACTCTTATGCTCTGTACTGTTTACATGGGTTGACATGGCCCTCTGCTTTTATGTCTTTTAGCTTGCTGTCTTAGACTTGAACTCAGCTGATGGACAGGGTGTTGGCACTGGTCGTAAGTGTGTTTTATCCCATTCAGTGCTTTTACATTTAGATTGAATGCCTGTGAAAAGCACAAACAGGCTTCTCATAGTTGTTCTCCTCTACTTTTTGTATTTGTACAATTTATTTCCTTAGTTTTTCTGAACTTTCATTGAAAAATAAGTGAATGTCTTTTGTCTTTCAGGGCGTTACATTCCTCCTCATTTGAGAAACAAAGACGTATCACAAAATGGTATGTTCTGCTGGTTTACTTTACATACAGTGGGTTGTTTTATTAAATGGGAAATTTGCTGATGCATGCCTGTTTGGCAAATGTTTGTTAGTAAAAATTTATAAATATTGCCTTTTGAGTTGCTTTTTATTAGTATTTTGTGGGTGCTTTAGTTTTTCTTAAATGTCTGATTCACAACTCCTGTAATCTGAAAATAATTTTTGACAAACAAAAACATTAGAGATGCACCAATTGCAATTTTCTTGGCCGATTCTGATAAAAAGAAAAAAGGTCTTGATTTATCATGCGCCATAGAATAGGAGCGCACAGCAGAAACACACAAGCGTACAGTGTTGGAAGATCATCATCATGTCAAGCATGAATAATAATAAAATAACTCTATAAACTTTTGCTGGTGTTTTCTCAGCAGTGTTGTAACAGAAGAACCCCCAAACATGATCAATCATTTTTCTTAAAAATTTGGAAGGTTTTCTATCAAATGAGACCATGCACTTTATGATGCCTTTTTAAAAAAAAATTTTGTATAGAGTAACTAAAAGTAAGCCATTACTTGTAATCATGTAAAATCATTAAAAATGCCTTCTGGGTATAAGGGGTTTAAAGTGACATCCAACAGAGAGCTTACAAATTACTTATATAAAGCTTAAATTATCTGTATCGGGCGATCATGATGACAAGAAATCGGGAGTTGGTATCGGCTGCAAAAATCCTGATTGGAGCATCCCTATTGTTAGTATCACTGTAATTTTTTTGGGACTCAATTCAAAAAGTTTTTTGAGGCTTTCTTTTACATAAATCATTTTAGAGTATAAGTTTCTCATTCCAATTGACATGAGCCACTCTCCATTTCATCACATTAAATAATGATTTGTAGATCCTCTTAGATCTTAAAATCAATGTTTTATAATTGGTTGAGTTTCTTTCTACACTTTGACTTCATTCTTGTTTTTTCACTGCAGGAAATGCTTATTCCTCTGGTAGACAGAGCGGTTATTCAGTGGCACCAGTACAGAGCTGTAAGTCTTGGTCAGGTTCTGCTGAAGGTGCTTTGCTTCCAAGATGCATGAGAATTTTATTTTATGTCTTCAGAGCCAGTACTTTGAGAACTGGTTTTAAATGGCTGCCCTCAGAGTGTTGAACCTCACACTTTATGAAACTGAAGGAGTTGTTTTTGAGTCTGCAAAGCTTTGATCGCTTTGTCTCACTGTTCCCTGTGATTATCTAGCAGCAGCAGTTGCTTGCATTCCTCTCCTTTCTTCTGTTCAAATTGACTCTGAACAAATAGGAAAGAGGCTTGTATGCGATAGTGCGCACACACTCTCCTTTGAATGCTTTTAATTATTTTGGCATCTTCTGACAATGTGAAACTCTTCCTGAAGTTTCTCCCAAACAGTATCCTCAGAGTTGGCACCCTGAGGGAAACCAAAGCTACAGGCATAACTATCCAACTGGATGGAATGACTTTAGGACCGGTAACTATTCAAATCAACCTGATTTGCTCTTGCGTTCCTCCCTTTGTGAAGGAATTGTTGTCTTTTAAGTGCCCTGTGCCTCTGCTTAGGTTCCCAGAGATATCCGTCCCAGGAGCTCTCGTTTTATCACGCCTACACTAGTGGCTGGCCAGACAGATGTGGTATATCTCTGTGCATGTGACATGTTCATCGTCCCTCTGTGACATCTGCACTTAACTAGACCCTGAGACTGAAATTTGTGGATTTTTCTCGAGATGTGTTCTGATGCTACATGTCAATAGCATGCTTAATCGTGTGGCCGTTCTATTTAAATACTAAGTGATGCTCACGTTAACATCTCTTAACTAAACCACAACACTCCAATTAGCTGATCTGAGCTTTGACATGTTTCACTGCTGCCACATCAATTGTTAGGTTTCATACTTAACAAGAAACATCACGTTCTACTCTGACCCCCCCCCCCCCCCCCCCCCCATTATTGCAAGACTATGTAGGCAAAAAATTGTTTTGCTTAAGGGGTTTGTTTGTGGTTTACTTTGCCTTCTATTGCATTTACTGCCTGACACAAAGGCTATTTTTGTTAATTCCTCGTGTTTGACGTTATTCCTTGGCTTCCTGATTAGTAAGTAGGTCAGCAGTGATTCGGTCTTTGAAAGCTTTGTAAAGTAAATTTTAAATTCTGTTTGGTTGGACCACATCTGAGGCAGTTAGAAATTCAAATGATTTGTTTTTGTAGACTGGAGTAATGAAGAGTGTGTATGCATGTGTGCAGTCCTGGTTAATTTCTATGTGTGTGTCACTTGCAGCCACCGATGGGAATGAGGACGCAGCCAGTGTTATCAGCTGGGCTTATTGCTGTGGTATATTAGAGCATTTGACAGTGACAGGGCTTGGCCTGCTTTTGCTGGATTCTGGAAAGAAAATGGTCACCCATTTATGTGGTGATTCATTCATATAGGCTCTAGCGTTTGTAATATTTTTCTTTTTGTGTTTACAACCTTTTTTGATAAAGTACATTGCATTATAAAGGGTCACATGATGTGGTTTTTGGAGTGTGTGTGTGCTCTTTATTCCTTAAACTGGATTTTTCAGAAAGGAGTAGCTGGTTGAGTCACTAGGTTGTCCTAACAGGTTTATTTTTGATTCACATGGTTTTGTAAACACCAGGAGTGCCAGTTCTGCCCAAAGATCCATATTGTGCTCTGTGTTCTTGATCTGTTTTTTTTTTTTTTTTTTGAGAAGTGCCATGATCCTGTTTGTCTGGTTCACTCAACTGACTTGAATTGTTCTATTTGCTGTCGTAAGAGCAAATTGCTTACTGGCTTTTTCACATCTGCCAGTGCCACTCACTCAACCATCACTGAGAACCAGTCTTGGCTTTGAGCTAAGCTATAAATTAGAGCCATTTCCTCAAAATCCTGATGTTCTCTACCAAGCATGCCATACAAGTGCTGAAAAGTGTAGCCAATGCGTCTCGATCGTCCCCCTGTGGCTGGTCTCAGTATAGCTCATAAAGCCCGCCTCCCCATGAAGTCTAATGAACGCGATGGAAACTAAACAATCAAATTACACTTCAAATAAATTTTCAAATATGTTTTCTGTCATTTTAGGTAGTTTTTATCACGCTAATTTAAGTTTAAGTGTTCGTTTAAAAAAAAAGAAAAAAAGTTTGATCTTAGTTCGTTATTTGACGCTATAAAAACGGGGATTGTGACGTGATGATTGACAGCTTCTCTAAACGAAGTAGTCACCAAGGCACCAACTGACTTTTTGGGGGGATTTTCGGGAGGAGATTGGAGCTTCAACTTTAATTTCTACATGTCCATAACTGTTTATTTCACACTAAGCGTTCGAGTCTTTAGCCCCCAGACCAGAACAGGAAGAGACCCAATGCAGCTGAGGAGCTCCTATTTAAACACCTGCTTCCCAGGTGCCAGCAATTAGGCCTGAAAGAGAGGAGGAGGGGCAGGAGAGCGACCAGAAACAGGCCAAGGGCCGTAACATGTACTAACAGTTTCTGCGGGAGTGAGGGCGGGACTTTGATATCGCGGCTTTACTTCCGGCTCAATACTGCACAGACTCGGGTCTCGCGATCACTAGAACCAGGTCCCAAATCTGCGCAAGATGTCAGCGCCATATTAGGACTTTGGCAGCTTCACTTTTCACCAATCGAAGAGAGTGAAGGGGTGTCGTCCATCTTTTTTTACAGTCTATGTTCTCTACCTATGTCACTTTTTTGATAGATTCTCCAGGATGGGACTGCGGTCATAGCAATGGTTTCGTCAATGGGTACCATGATGGTCGTATAAATGGAACTGCAAACTTTGCCCGTGGACTTCCTCGTAATGACAGAGGAGGACGTGGTAGCTTCCGTGGAAGCAGGAACGGTGGTTCCTTCAACCAGCCAATGCATAATGCAGGTGAGTTTTATAAATGATAAAAGAGAGATTGAGGGTACGTTTACATGACAACAATATACTAAAAACTGAAAAGTTGATTCCTTTTTTCGTGTACAGACGTCAAAACTATCCCCATTCACATGGATCTGCGAAAATGACTAAAACGCTGTGTAATGCATGCCAGAGTTGATATCACTTTGTAAAGAAACACTACGCGCCTATAGACTGGAGCATGTAATACGCACGTACATGAGGCCACCTTTTTCACAAACTAACGGTTTTGTAGTTTACACTGAACTAAGTGTCTGACACTAAGTTTACACTGACACTTTATAAGTGTCGTTTTCAAAAACTTGCACTTTGAAACCCGTTTTCAAAAGTTTTGCGTTTTCAGGCCACTAAAACGCTGTTGTCATGCAAATGAACGTTTTAGTTGAAAACTGTGGCCCCTTGCGAGTTGTACACATTTTAATCATCTAACATGATGAAATTGTAGGTTATGCCACTTATGAGAACAAAGATGGAGGCTGGAACGCAGTGGTGAACAGAGATGCCTACACTAGCTTTGGTGGGCGTTCTGACAGAGGAAAATCTCCGTTCTTCAATGATAGAGGAGCTGGCTCAAGAGGAAGGTGAGTAAAGATGCAGTACTGTAACAAGGTTGTTTTAGATTCCATTCTTGACATAAATCTCAGCTAAAACTAATATTAGCCTAGCTAATGTAAGTAAAAAGTTCTCAAATTTCCAACTGTTGGGACATAAAGACATAATGTTAATGCTTTACTTAAGACATAAAGGACTGTGTTTGAGTATCCTTGCCAAGAGTGACATTTTGCCATATTTTTGTGTGCATTTGAACATTTAAGCTCAAAAAAGCACCAAAAAAGAACAATGTAGCTCTGTACACGCGCTTCGGGTGTGGGTGTGCACTGACACCATTTGCTTGACGGTGTGCTAGTGCCGAATTGCACATGCAAAGGCTAAACTTTCATGATGGCACAGGACTGCAATGTAACATGAGTGTAACTGCGATAGAGGTGATGATCCAAAATAATCCACCGGTTTATTGTTTGTTTTATCGCCCATCGTTTCTACAAAGGTCACCATAAATTGCTGCACCCATGCTACAGATGTGAATGATGCCTCAAGTTGTGTGGTTTGAGTTATGAGATATGCACTTCTATTAATTGGCTGTTACTTTTCTAAGCAATAGGATGATAAAATAAGCTTTTTAATGGAATGTGCTCAGAAGAAATCTTGTAATAAATGCACTAAATTTTACATGATTTATGCTGTGCTGCAGTGTTTTTAATTACAAAAAAAAATTCTTCGCAGGTATGAGCGGGGAGGCTTTGGAGGAACAGGAGGGAACAGTCGTTGGGTTGAAGAGTCCAGAGACGAAGAGGACTGGTCAAAGCCAATGCCCCCCAACGATCGTCTGGAAAAGTAAGTGGCCCACTGCTAAGCGCACTGTCTTGTTTCGAGAGAGTCCATCTGTCATTGTGATTTTAAAGCCATTGTTTTCTCTTGTTTCCCCTTGAACAACAGTGAGCTGTTCTCTGCGAGCAACACAGGGATTAACTTTGAGAAGTATGATGACATTCCTGTGGAGGCCACTGGATCAAACTCTCCTGGGCACATTGAGAGTGTAAGCCTAATAATTATAGTGCCTTGTAGAATCAAGTGCCCAACTAAAATAATGAAAAAAAACTGGCAGATGATGTGTGTTTGGATAATTTCTGTTTATCTTTTCAGTTCCATGATGTGGACATGGGCGAGATCATTATGGGAAATATCAACTTAACCCGCTACACACGCCCTACCCCTGTTCAAAAGTATGCAATCCCCATCATCAAGGCCAAGAGGGACCTGATGGCCTGTGCACAAACAGGTGGGTCATTAGACCACCGTGTCAGTCTGCTGTGGGGAAATAGTTTAAAATTGCATCCCAGTTGAACTGTAACTGCAAACTATATTTGCAATTATGTGATGAAAAAGTAAAACTAAGCAAACTAAACTAAGCTTTTTTAATTTTTTTGCACTGTTGGGCTTTAGTTGTGCTGCGTTCCAGTCCACTTTTAGACACGCACTTGTGAACTTCCCTAAGCACTTCCCCTTGGGGGAATCCTTGCTGCCATTTTGAAGTGCGTTCCACTTCGTGAAGTGGACGAGGGAAGTTTATATGGTCAGACCCTCGCTCCCTCGATTTTGACCGAGGGAGCGAGTCTACTTCATATGTACACTTCAGGCTGCTCCATATTCCACAATGCAACACGATTGGGACGTCGCCGCAGATCTCGTCTAATCACCACCACCACCACAAACAACTCTGATATATTAATTATGATTTTTTTAAAATTTAAAACAACCCAAACACATCTATAAACATTTGGATGCTGCATTAAACAAATTCTTAAAGGGAAACAATTTTTAAATGATAACTCCAACTCCATAGCTGATTCCAAGAGATCAAGGGCTTAGGACGTTCCAATTCAGCCCATTGCAGTTTCCGCCAGTAGTGGGCACTCATGCAACGTAAGCAATGACGTACATCTGAGTGAACGAGACGGAGGGAGGTTAGCGAGTGAAGGGCATGACAATTTTGGACTGGAACGCAGCACTGGACTTGCCAGAAACAGTAAAGACTGCTGATACTACATTGTGTGTTGTGTGTCATTTACATAATGTAAGCATTGACCCATTGTTTAAGTGAACACTTTTCTGGTTGACTTGAGTAAAATGAGAAATTGTGTGAGCCCAAGTTCATGCCGCTGTATACAGTTGCATTCAAGGGTCTGTCATAGAATTAATTATTAAATGTTTTTCAAAAGTTCAGTTACTCACCACTAGGGCTGCAACAAACGATTATTTTGATAATCGATTAATCGGACGATTATGTTTTCGATTAATCGGATAAAAAACCATTCAATTCGATTTTTTGTTTATTCTAATTAAAGTAAACCCGGTTACACTTTATTTTAAGGTGTCCTTGTTACAGTGTAATTATATATTTAAGTACAGAGTAATATTAAGTAACTACATGTACTTACTATAGGAATAGGGTAGGATTAGGTTGAGTGTTAGTTGCATGTAATTATGCATAATTTACTGTTATTACTACAGTAAGTACATGTAACATATGTAACAAGGACACCGTAAAATAAAGTGTTACCTAAAACCCTAAATTAGGATATTTATGTGTAAAAGTGTACTTTAAAAAGTGCAAAAGCCACACATTGAGTTTTACAAATATCAATATTTGCATTGTTTTTAATGATAATTGCTGATGGCAAGTTGACAACCATGATTAATGTAAAAAAACAAAAAACATTTATATCCAACATATTGTTTTAACACAATTTTTGTTAAAACAAATTTACAGACATGTTGTTCAGATGTGAAGATATAAACTAAAAACATCTAAAATATATAATTCATTTAATTTTTTTTAAACTTAATTGAATTAGAAGGATAATTTGTAAAAAAAAAAAATATATATATATATATAGAAAGACTGAAAACAAGCGTGTGAACATAGAGCTGCAGTAGATCGCGTTTGAATAACAATTAAAACTTAATAGTAGACAAATGCTATATAAAGAGAACGGAATGGAGGTACGCAGCAAGCTAACAGGCTTGATTAAAAAGACAGGAAAAATGATGCATTAGTGCACAAACATTCGCTGAAAACCACTGAGTACAGTGACTAAAAAACAATAATTTACTGCTGCTGTTATTAACTGCCTTTATATTTAGTGCTTCGCTTTGTAAAGACCGTTTTAATTTAATATTTCTGCGGTAGCACTATTTTAATCCATCACTTATGTTGCGAGCGAACTGATTGCGCAACCTGATGCTCGAGACGCAAAATACAGACATCCCAAGTCTCCCGGAAGTTCTGGAAGTCATCAGCATAATGATAGCGGCTCCCTGATGCTGGCAAATTAGTTCAAACTCTCGGGATTTGAGCGCGCAAGCAAGAGCGCACATGCGAGACAGAAGAGACTGTGCTCCAAACCGTGTAGCGCGAGCGCGCGGCAGAGCAACGGAGGGAGAGAGACCTTGCGTGTGTGTCTCATGAAGCGCGTGTAAGACAGAGCATCCTGATTGGCCTGTTTCAACCAATCACCAGTAAACGCTCCCCGTGACGTAAGCAGACCAACTAATCGATAATGACATTCGTTGACAACGATTTTCATAATCGATTATTATCGATTTTATCGATTAGTTGTTGCAGCCCTACTCACCACGGCAATAGATATTTGTATTGCTTTGATTTGAGCACTCATGTCAACTTGCGCATCTTCTAAAACTTTTACCTAACAACATTTACCTTCTAGGATTGTGGTCCCTTTTACGTGAGGGTTAAGGCAAGCTCAAACTACACGACTTTTGGCTGGATTTTGCAGTCGCAGACAAATTTCTAAGGTCTGTGACAACCCAAATCGTTGCTTGTTAAGCATGAGCAGGTCAACGACGTGTTCTGAGCCTTTCTCGAGCAGTCACAGGCGCTGAAATATTTTCAAACCTGTTTGATATCTCCACGTGATCTTGTAGTGTGTGCAATGCAACAAAAAGGTGGAACTAATCCAGCCAATCATGGTATAGATAAAAAAAATCTCATTATCACTTGCATGGATTTCTCATGAATTTATGTGAGAACTTTTTCCCCACTGTTGGACTGTCTTGACCAAATGTCTTGTAGTTTGTGCACCTCGTCAGCGTTGTTTAGTATGCGCGCTGCTATGACAAGACTATGACAGATGACAAGAAACCTTGTGGAAAACCAATTCAGGTAGTCTTACAGTCCTGTAGTCTGAGCTTGCCCTTAGATGAGCACTTCCTGTCTCTGCAGTTTATTCTGACCAAGCCCAGACTGCAGTGTTGTGCAAAGTGTGGCTTTAGCTGCCCGGTCAGGATTAGACCACAGTGTGCAGCTGTTTTAAAGTGTGCTTTGTGTGTGTGCGTGTGCGTGTGCTCCCTTCACTCAGGCTCTGGGAAGACTGCAGCCTTTCTGCTTCCTGTTCTCAGTCAGATCTACAGTGATGGACCTGGAGAGGCACTGCAGGCCACCAAAGCCAGTGCCCAGGTTATTATACAGATCATTTTAACATCTCTTTACTGGCTTAAAATTGTGCAAAGAGTCTTTTGAGGGGAAATTAGTTCTGCTTCTGTGATTTAATACATTTTGTTTTGGTCCTTCTTAAGCAGGAGAATGGAAAGTACGTCCGTCGTAAGCAGTTTCCCATCTCTCTAATCCTGGCTCCAACCAGAGAACTTGCTCTTCAGATTTATGATGAGGCCAGAAAGGTATATCTTGGTAGAGAACCAATTATAGGTTCACAAATGTTGGTTCAATTTAAAGCTTGTCTCAATTTTTCTTCTCATCTTCTGCAGTTCGCTTACCGCTCCAGAGTGCGCCCGTGTGTAGTATACGGAGGCGCAGATATAGGCCAGCAGATCCGTGAATTGGAAAGAGGCTGTCACCTGCTAGTGGCCACACCTGGTCGTCTGGTAGACATGATGGAGCGAGGCAAGATTGGCATGGACTACTGCAAGTAAGTGTAGCACAGAAAAGATCTAGGCTTATAGTGAAATGATTGTAGGTTGTTTTTAACCTCCAATACATCTTGGTTCTGAAAAATAACTGGTAACGCTTCCTTTTACAGTCCTGTTACCCATGTACTTACTATGTACTTATTATATTAATTATAATTACTGGGTAAAAACTAGGTACTAACCCTGAACCTACCCCTAACCCATGTACTTGCCTTATATTAGCCAGTACTTTCTAGGTAAGTACACTGTAAGTACATGTAAGTACTGTACTGTAAAAGGAAGCGTTACCAAATAACTTGATATATGCTTTGTGTAGATATCTGGTGTTGGATGAGGCAGACAGAATGCTCGATATGGGTTTCGAACCCCAGATCAGACGTATCGTGGAGCAAGACACCATGCCTCCAAAAGGTGCTCGTCAGACCATGATGTTCAGTGCCACCTTCCCGAAAGAGATCCAGGTATGCATGCATTTAATTTGACACTTGTCAGCAAGACTCAGTATGAACCTCGATATTAATAAGGAACTCTTTGTATCTGTACCTTTTTATGTATAGATTCTGGCCCGTGACTTTCTGGAGGAGTACATTTTCCTGGCTGTGGGCCGCGTGGGCTCCACCTCAGAGAACATCACCCAGAAGGTGGTTTGGGTGGAAGAGAATGACAAGCGCTCCTTCCTCCTTGACCTGCTCAATGCCACAGGTGAGATGCCTTTCCTTGTCCACGGTTTTACAATGTCATCGGGTCTTTGTTGTAAGAATAACAGACTTGGTCAAGCTCTGTGTAAGAACAGATGGTATACGTTGGTGTAAATATTTTATTGTGTTGTAGCAGAACATTTTTAGAAATAATATTGTTAGTTGAGTGGAATTTTTTTTCCCCCACATGTCTCTTAGAAGTGACTTAAGTGAGATGCAGAAGAGATGGAGATTTTCCGTTGTGCTAGTAAATCTATAGATTCAGTGTCTGGCTCTTGGTCAAGCGCTCATGTAGATCCATAGCTACACAGTACTGACACACTAGTGCTTTTAGATAAGTCTCGTTGGTCATTGTTACCATGCCAACATTATCTAAGCAAGGACTGGAGCAGAAGGTTTGGTGGTTAGTGTCTTAAAGGGAGGAAAAGAAGTCTCACAGTGAGACATTTTTAATGCTCTACAATCTCTTCCTTACGTGCTAATGGGAGTCATGCCAAAACTTGACTACAGAAGAGATACAAACTGGCTGAAATTGCATTGAATTCAGAAAATTAGGGTTACAAACACACACATACACGACTGCCTTTTGCAGATGCTTTTATTCAAAGCTTTTATCACCCTGCAGGCAAGGATTCTCTCACACTGGTGTTTGTAGAAACTAAGAAGGGTGCAGACGCTCTTGAGGACTTCCTGTACCGTGAGGGTTATGCCTGCACCAGTATCCATGGTGATCGCTCTCAGCGTGATCGTGAGGAAGCGCTCCAGCAGTTCCGTTCTGGACGCTGCCCAATCATGGTTGCCACTGCTGTGAGTAGAGTCTGAGTTCACCGGAAACCCGTGGTTTTCCTTGCGCTTGTTTGAGTGATTGTATTCTTGTCTTGATAGGTGGCTGCCCGTGGCCTGGATATCTCCAATGTAAAACACGTCATCAATTTTGACTTGCCCAGTGACATTGAGGAATACGTCCACCGCATTGGTCGTACAGGCCGTGTGGGAAACCTTGGTGAGTTTTTCTGTTTATAGAAATAACTTGCATGCATCTTATTTTTGCCAGAACATCTGTTTGAATTATTGATATATCTTCAGGGCTGGCCACATCCTTCTACAATGATAAGAACAGCAACATCACCAAGGATCTGCTGGACATCCTGGTGGAGGCCAAACAGGAGGTGCCTTCCTGGCTTGAGAACCTAGCTTACGAGCACCAGCACAAGAGCAACAACCGTGGACGACCCAAGAGGTACAGAAACATCTAGCTCTCCAAATCTCCCCATTGGATTTGTATATTTTCCAGGCTTATGACATGTTGCTCTTCTTCTCCAGGTTCTCTGGTGGCTTTGGGGCCAGGGATTACCGCCAGATGCCTGGGGGCAGCAACACTTTCGGGAACCGTGGTGCTCGCAACGCTGGTGTCCATGGAGGGAACAGAGGTTTTGGAGGCAATAAGGGTGTGTTTAATTTTTAGTTTAATTAAACCTTTAAGTGTTGACATGACAAACAAGATCAAATTTAGGCTTCGTTAACATTGATTCAAGCATTAGGAATGGCCTAACAATTAAATCTTTACAACATTTATGAATTTTGTAAACATTATTTACTATTTTAAAAGTGAATTATTTTATTTATCACTGTTCATTAACTCGTCTTTGCATAATACATTAACCTTTTATTATTTATAAATGGATTAAACTCAAACTCTAACAATGAACAATATTTCTACAGTGTTTATTAATGTAAAGTGTACATTTTAATGTGGGATATTTGTTATATAATTAAATTCTTGAAAGTAGTCCTGATATCATTGTCTGTTTTAGGTGGCTTTGGGAGCTTTGGCGGTGACAGCTACGGGGGCAACTATGGAAACTATGGTGGAAACTTTGCCCAGGTGGACTGGTGGGGCAACTAAAAATATGTTTGCCAAACTAGAGCCGAACGGATACCACATGTTATCATAGCCAGACTCTACCCTCTGTGTAGCTTTATGAACTCGGTACATTACACGCTGTGATTCTCTGCCCACATTCTAAAGGGAGCTGATCTGTGGCAAAACCGGTGCAGAATATTAAGGATGCCCACGACTTGTGTATTTGATCTATTACAGCACCTAGGTTTTTGACCTTTTTTTTTTTCGTTTTTTTTCTTTATCTTTTCAGAAAAAAAGAGGATCATTTGTATGTGAATGTACTGTGCCTTTTTGAATATAGACAGGAATTTAGTTTTGTTAATTTCGAGTGAACTTGGCCAAGAGCTTAATTTGTTTTGTTTTTTGCTGTAAAGACGTTTGAAAGCTTGTACTTAATCAAACCTTGGCAAATACTGGGATAATGTGACTCGATGAGTTGCTGTTTCCATTTGAACTTCAAATTATCACTGATATCATGAAGCCAACAATACAAGCCACAAAGTAAAGCACCATCACAGCCACTTTGCAGACGTTTGAACCGCTCTGTGAAGCGACTGTCACAAGGGACAAATCGGTCTGACTGACTTTTGTTTTGCTCACTCTATCCTGGAGAGACACCTATTTAGGGATATGGTTGTCTTGAAAAGGCCATTCCAGTTGTGATATTCATGACGAGATATTGGAAACACTCAGTGTTTGAAAATTCAAAATGCAGGAACTTCTTAATCCACTTGTTTTAATTGACTTGACAGTGTTATGGCAGCTAGTAAGAACCACATGCTAGCCAGTCTAAGTGGGCAGCATTTTTTGTTAAGTACTACTTTTTTTCTTTTCTTTTTCTCGTAACAACATTTTAGAGAAGCAGATGTGATTTTATTGAAAAACTCTAAGGTTTTTTGGTAAAACGTTTCTTTACAAATGTCAGCAAAACAAAAAATGCCTGCCATCCTGAAAGTGAAGTTCAAATGGCTACAAACGGACCACAGAACCAAAGCGGCCGTGCCTTTGGAACATGACCGCTTTGGTCATCTACGCATGCTAGTGTTTTGTTTTTTGGTCAAGGGGAGAAGACTAATGAATTGTTGCAGGCTTTCTTTTAATACAAACGTCCTCTTTTCAAGCTGTGCAGCAGGCATGGCTCCCTTTTTCGTAGGTAGAGGAAGCGTGAGGGTTCATTTTGAGGCATTGACAGATCCAAACCGGGAGTTTGTTTGCGTTGGGCCTGACGTGAGTGCAGATAGGCAGGCCACCATTTTAGCTTGTGTCTGGTCCCGTGGTTCTTCGCAGGACCTGGACACCAGGTATATGAATGCTGTCAGCTCCTGAAATTCATCTGGTTAGTTGTGAACTCAACCACTGGCTGAGGAGCCGGTTTTCAGCTGCTTTTCTTGAAAAGGAAGGAAGCGGTCGAGCGGAGGAGAAAAAGGCATTTGTCGCAAGTGCAATAGATATTCTTCTCAAGTGAGTTGTGCCTTGACTTTATTTTTTATTTTTTAACTGATGAATTCATCAGATGCACTGACAGTATTGAGAACTTCAAGTTGAATGGTGCTACTTTAGTTAGGTCTAGGCCCGTGTACGTTGTGCCCATCAAGTTTTACAAAGTTCTTTTATTGCACATTTCGAGTTTTATATACGTGTCTTGAGTGCATGTCCTCAAGCTTCCAAATATTGTGTCAGGAGAGTAGAGATACGCAGCTTGTTTACAAAAGGGGAAGGGTTCTCACTATTTACCAGGATTTATTTGGGACCAGGGCGATCAGCAGTGGGGAATTTAGCTGTTTGCACACAGATTTCTAGATTCTACTTTTGCTGCTAGTTTTGTGTAATTTATTAAGCATTTTTTGAGAAATATTTATTTTTATAAGCCTCAAAGTGATTCTTTGAAAGTTTCAAGAAACTTGACCAAAAGACAATACCTAAACACTGGCACTTGAATGTTGAATGTCACCTGTATGCGTGAAAAATTTCTATATTTCGGGGTAGCGTGAGCTTTTTAATGTTTCAGACATAATGTACTCGGTCAGATTCCACAGCTGTTAAAGGCCTAACGGCAACACGTCGCTATGGAATTACCCATTGGCTTTCAAAATTGGAAACAGTGAAAAAACATGCCAAGGTTTGGAATCAAAAGTCGTAAAAAAAGTAAAAAAAAAAAAAAAAAAGTATCAGTGCAAAAAGTGTCCAGATTCTTCAAATGTGTGCTTTTTTTTCTGTCCAACAGATTGGCATTTGTTCTGTTGAAGTTATGTTTCTGTCAATGTCTGGCACATGGCAACCTTGAACACGTGGTTGATCTCTATTGTATTTACATAGGGACTCTGGTATTAGTCCACTCAGGAGAAGCTGCAAGTGTCCACGCTAGCAATAAGTAATAATGTGTTTTGGAAACACTTAAAATCACACTCCCTGCCCCTCATTCAGATGGAAATAGGAGAATAGTTCACTCCCTGAGAGGACACCAGAGCTCCTTAGATTTAGTATTTGCTTTGTCGTAGCTTCTAGGCTCTGCACTGCATGAGACGACTCGGCTGTGCGTTTATTGTATGATTTTACCAAAATAAAAGTTTCTGATGCAAATTCCTTACAAATCAAGCATGGTTTCTTAAGTGTTTGGAGCAGAAATTGGGTCGAACATTGTAATGGCTGTTCTTATTTTGAACTCAGTGGAGTTATTTGACATTTAGTTGATGATGCTAGTTTGTTTACAAATAGAAAATTCCTTCTTTACTTAGTGTCCCTTGTCTTATTTCCTCTACTCTCAATGGGTTATGCTCATGTGTCCAGTACCTGATGTTTCAAGTGTTGAAGCATAGGGAACCGTATCAATGCCCACTTGCTATTGCACAGGAGTAAGTGCAATCCATCTATAAAACAAAGACAAAGCATTATGAAATCATTTACTTGCGGTTTGTGATGCAGCTGCTGTGAGATCTAATATTGGCTGCTTCATCTTGCCTGAAAAGTTTTTTTGCGAACTCTCCATTACACTGTGCCTCATTTACAAAACAAAATGCTCCGAACAAACATAACCCTCCGACACGATCCAAGATGCCATTAAAATAAACCATCTACTTGTTTCCAACGCTGGGATACTTCTGAAGTCTGTACAGGGATGCAAACGACCTGTTTAAAAGGTTAGTTCACCCAAAAATTTGAAGTGTCGTTACTCACCCTCATGTCATTCCAAACCTGTAAGACTATAAGCCTAAATTAAATCCGCTCTTCAGAAATTTTGAACTAAACGTATATAGTTGAATATATAATGCAGCAGGGGGAATATGGGTCCTGATAATGCCAAATGTCTGATTTTACCAGTAAAAAAGGGCCTATATTTAAATGTATGTAGTCAGTGACAGTGCAAGCATGATTCTGAGCCTGAAAATACAGAATGATCTTAGACATGAATATTTTTTTTCTGGTGTCAGCATTGCCCTGTGCACTCGGGACCAAGTAAAAGCCTATTCATGTCCACCCCGTAATACCAAATTTAGCATTTTAATCAATGTTAATTATACGTTATAACAGTAATTTTTTTTTAAATTGTTTACCATGTCTTAGAGGTAATGTATATATTTAAAAACAACTACTTTATTTTGGCGTAAAGTATTGTGATAGTATAGTATCGCGATGTGTATCGTTACACCCCTATAATTTAACTAAATGTATATCTTTTTAAATTATTTATTTGAACAATTCAAGTGATTTACAGGACTAATATTACTACACACATCATGCAATTGTAGTTGTTATATTACTTCTGTCATTTGTCTAAGTGTAAAGTGACCACACTGTTCCCTAATCTGAAAAGGGCCTCTAATGATATGTGTTAACATCCAGTTCTTGGCAAATGTTTCCTGAAAAGTTTACATTAGTTTGTTAGAGTACCTTTCAGCCATTGGTTTATATAAGATTGCAGACTGTAATCTGCATGTACCATTGAGGCCCAGGGTCATTTCTGCTTGCTTTGATTTCAGAGTACTGCTTTAAATGCTTATAATCCTAGGATTTTTCTGCCATTAAGTGATGGCTTTCTAAAGGGGAGTTTTGATGTTGGCGCATGTGTGCACATACAAACACAAATGCTGAGCGATAGAGCCTTTAATCCATTCATATTTTCACTTGGAGCGAAGCGGTACAGACATGTAGTCATGTTGGGGAAACTTGTGGATGCGCTTTTATCAGCTGTCAGAGCAGAAGAACCTTTACTGAACATGCTTGGCAGGTAGGTAGCTTGGGGCTAATGTTGACCATTTGTAATCATTGAGCATTTTGGGACTTTTGATATTACCAAGAGAAGATGAACACATTTTATTTGATATCAAGATGTTTGAAATGTCTAATTTGCTAAATATTTCATGTTATCTTAAAAATCCACAGCTGAGAGAAACCAGTGATGTGTTCCACCGTTATTGCTGGTAAGTCCCTGATTTCTGCTGTGTTATGTTCCTTGGTGTCATCTGTTTGGTGTATTTCTTCAGCTATTCAGTTCAAGTCTCAATGCTTCTGACATTTATATTAAAGCATTTTCTGAGCGCTGCTGAAATACACTATCTCTACTTGCATGAATTTAAGGGAACAAACAAGAGCTAGTGTATTTGTGTAATCTCTAATCTGTCCTTTCTTAATCACCATAATTTCAATGTGCAGAGCAGATGCAGGACAGAGGGAGGTCACACATTAAATTATTCCTCCAGTCTCTGATTGTGCTCTCTGTAATCTTCCCGGAACTGCTGGGAAAACCAGACTCATTTGTAAAGTGATTGCTTATGCTGCATGACTAGTGTTTTGTTTCTGTATAATTATCATAATAAAGTCCTGGAAGTTCATTTAAAGGCTTTTTTGTGTGTCATGTTAATACCAGCATTTCTCTGCAGTTTAGACCATGTAAGTACAAACCTGTAGTGTGGTATCCATCAATGTGGCTGTTTACAGTTCAGTGTGATGTAAGGGTTCATTCTAAAAATATGAATTAAAATAAAAAGATTTCAAAAAGTTAAGAAATTCCATATAAAGGCTT